CAACTAGCGGTGGGGTATCTGAAGCTGGCTCATAACCCGAATTTTAGCTCGCAACTCAAAGCAAAAAATCGGCCGAGAGACGGCTCGTATCTCGAAAAACTCGTTAGTTGGGACACTCATAAGTCAAGGCCCCACTGTATTGTCTTTCTATAAAGAAAAATATCCTCTCTTAAAACTCATAGTTTACCCTTTTTTTTCTTCCTCCACCTTTTAACAGAAACATAAATATAGAGGAACATATTTCTAAAAAAAAACAAAAAACAACATGTTTCTAGTTCTAACCATGCAAGTGAGATAATAAATGGCATCTGATGGATCGTGGGGTCAAGAGAAACAGGTGCCATGGAAGCTGTGACACACTGAGACATGCAGGTACTGTGCAGAGGAGTTGCTAGCACTCAATTCTAGCTAATTGTTGCCATGGGGACAACAGTTGTTGTCAGATCTGGGGCTTTTCAGGTGAAGCCTGAGAGTCTTAGCATTAGTCTATCATCTACTTGCTGTTTGCATTTATTCTTTGATTTGTTCACCACAATGTCCCCAGCTCTGGTTATGATGAGTGGTTGTTTTCTCCATTAAATTTCTTTTGCACCTTTGTCAAAAATCAGATGGCCATATTTCTGTGAGTCTGTTTCTGGATTCTCTATTCTGTTCCGTTGATTTATTGTCTATCTCTTTAGCCTTAATTACTATAGCTTTATAGTAAGTCTTAAAATCAAGTAGTGTAATTCCTTCAACTTTATCCTTCTTTTCCAATACTGTTTTAACTAGTTCCTTTGCTCTTCCAAGTATATTTTAGCATCAGCTTGCCTATATCTTAAAAAAAATCCTGCTGGGATTTTGGTTGGTATTGCATTAAATCCATAAATCACTTGGGGAGAAATTGGCATCTTTAACCATGTCAAATCTTCTAATTTATAAACATATTATGTCTTCTCATTTATTTCTTTTTTAATCTTTATTGTTGAAAGTATTACAGATATTCCCTTTTTTCCCTCATTGTCCCCTTCTAGCCCACACCTGCCCCCCACCCCAAGCCTTCACCCCTCTATTATCTGTGTCCATGGGTTATGTATATATACATACAAGTTCTTTGGTTGATCTCTTCCCACCCACCTACCCACCTCCTCCTTCCCTCTGAGATTCATCAGTCTGTTCCATGCTTCTATGTCTCTGAATCTATTTTGTTCACCAGTTTATTTTGTTCACTAGATTCCATATATGAGTGAGATCATATGATACTTGTCTTTCTCTGACTGGCTTATTTCACTTAGCATAATACTCTCCATGCTGTCTCAGACTGCGAGAGCCCCAGACTGCGAGAGGGATGACTGACTGCCGGTGGGCCTAAGCCAGCAGGCGGACATCCCCCAAAAGTTCCCGGACTGCAAGAGGGCGCAGGCTGGGCTGAGGGACACCCCCTCTCCGGTGCACAAATTTCATGCACCAGGCCTCTAGTATAATTATATTTGAACTGAGTTTTCTTATATGCAGCACATAGTTGAGAAATGTTTTTTGATCCACTCTGCAAATCTATCTTTTAATCGGTGTGTGTAGAGCATTTACATTCAATGCAATTGTTGATATGTTTAGAATTAGGTCTACCATTTTATTATTTGTCTTCCACTTTTTCCTCTCTTTATTCCTTTGTTTTCCTTTTCCTACCTTCTTTTCAGTTACTTGAACATTTTTAGTATTCTTTATTTATTGTGATTTTGACTATTTTTTGTATAATTTTTTAGTGATTTCTTAGAGATTACAAAAAGAATCAATATTTTCACACTTCAATTGGAATGTAGAAATCTTATATCCATATAGATCTTTTATGCTTTCCCCTTTATGCAATAGCTGTTATAGCATATCTATATACATTGAAAATCCCATCAGACATTGTTATATATTTTTACTTTTAACCACTAGATATATTTTAGAGAATTTAAGACAGGAAGAATAGTCTATTATATTTATCTAGATAATTATCATTTCCGTTGCTCTTTATTCCCAGTGTTCCAAGTTTACTTCTTTTGTCATATTTCTTCTGTCCAGCGACCTTCCTTTAACAATTCTCATAGAGCACATCTGCTGGCTATGAATTCTATTAGTTTGCCTTTATCTGAGAATAACTTTACCTTCATTCCTGAAGGTTGTTTTTGTTGGATATAGAACTCCGGGTTGACAGTTCTTTTCTCTTACCACTTTTAAAATGTTGTGCCACTTTCTTCTGTTTTTTTATGGTTTTCTGATAAGAAAACCCACAGGGAAAAAATATTTGCAAATCTTATGTCTGATAAGAGTCTAGTATTCAGAATATATAATAACTCTTACAGTTCAGTAATAAAAAGCCTACAAAATATAGTATCTGCAAATATTTATCCCAATCTTTTACCCTAAAAGGGTCTTTTGCAAAACAAAAGTTTTGATTTGATGAAGTCCAATTTGTCAGTTTTTTTTTCCTTTGATTGCCTGCGCTTTAGGAATCATGTCATGCTTCTGTGCCTATGGATGTCTAGTTGCTCTGACACCATATTGGAAAGTAAAGCTCATTTGCAAAATGTGATCTTTAGCCCTGGCCGGTTTGGCTTAGTGGATAGAGCGTCAGCCTGCGGACTGAAAGGTCCCGGGTTCGATTCTGGCCAAGGGCATGTACCTTGGTTGCGGGCACATTCCCAGTAGGAGGTGTGCAGGAGGCAGCTGATCGATGTTTCTCTCCCATCGATGTTTCTAACTCTCTATCCCTCTCCCTTCCTCTCTGTAAAAAATCAATAAAATATTTTTTAAAAAATGTGATCTTTAAAGTTGTAAAATTAGGCCCCGGCCGGTGTGGCTCAGTTGATTGAGCATTATCACATACACCCAAAGGTCATCATTTTGATTCCCAGTCAGGGCACCTGTCCAGTCAGAGTGCATACAGGAGGCAACTGGATTCTCTCTCTCACATTAATGTTTCTCTCTCTTTCTCTCTCTCCCTCTTACTTCTTCTCTCTGTAAAAACTCAAAAAATATATTTTTCAAAGTTATAAAATTAGTTTGACCCTTCAGGGAGCTTCTAAGAAGTCAGACCCAAGGCTTTTCTCTTTGTGATTGTCCTTGACTTTTGGTCCCTTTAGCACTTAACATGTCAGAATTTATCTTGTGGGATGTTTTTTTTCAGGTGACTGTGGTTTTAGAATGAGGGATCCTGGAAAAATAAGCAAATAAAAATGAGTGACTTGTCAACTTCTTGTCCTTTGGTAGGATCCGTGCTGGATTGGAGCCAGCAGTTCTGACCGTGTTTCGGAAGGCTGTGCCGGGAGGGAAGCTGGGAGTTTAAGGCCATAAGGCCTATTACACAGCTAGGAGATGGGAACATCATTCCCCCTTTACAGGTGGGAAGCTGAGGTCCCAAAAGGTCACTCCAAAGCTAGAGCTGCTAGAGTCTCATCTTTACCAACAGCGTGTTCTCAAACTTCCTCCAGAATAAAATGGGCTTGAAAATAGTGCTCCGATTGCAGCATTGGGATAAAAGTCACTGATATTGGTAGACTGCCGTACTGCCTCCTCAGCTCTGGTCCCACCAGCCTGAGTTGGTAACAGTCCTAAGAAGGAGGTGGACAGGTAGTGTCCTCACGTTACATAGATGAAGGAACAGAGCTGGAGAGGCATCAGAATGGCAGAGATCACGCAGCTAGTGGGTGTCCAAGCCAAGGCTAGTGGTCCTGCCTTCCTCCCTGCACTCCTACTGTCTTGGCAGTAATGCCAAGTCTGATAAGATAGTTACTGTTTCTCCCCTTCCTGAAGATCCTGTCTGCTATATTATACACAAGGCCCTGAGGGAAGAATGTTGGAAGGCCAACATTCATGGCACCGGCCATGGGGCACCAAGAGCCACATGTCCTGTCACGTAACCTAAGAAGACTGGGTTACATGTCGTAGGTTATAAACAAGTGAAAGAGAGGCCATGTCATCAGTCTGGGCAAGAAATGTTCATGGTTGAACCAGGACAGGGAAGCAAGAGAGAAGGAATACAGCACATCAGTGCAGGAAACCTGGGACCCAGCCCAGCCACACTCACCAACTGCATGGCCTCAGGAAACATGGTGATTGCTCTGAGCTTCTGTTTCATCTGTAAAATGGGTAAAAGTGGTGATAGTTGGTGTCCCTGCACACTGGTAAGTGCTCAAGAAATGGTGGCTGAACCCCAGCTTCTGGGTGTGAAGGAGAAGCCTGTTCAAAGCTGTGGAGCCTGGCCACCTGTCAGCTGTCCTGGCCCCATTTGCACATTTTCTCCAGTTTAATTCAGAGACTCTTGAATAAATTTTTTAAAATACGTTTTTATTGATTCCAGAGAGAGGAAGGGAGGGGGAGAAAGAGATAGAAACATCAATGATGAGAATCATCTATCAGCTGCCTCCTGCACTCCCCCTACTGAGGATTGAGCCTGCAACCCAGACATGTGCCCTGATCAGGAATCAAACTGAGACCTCCTGGTTTATGGTCAGTGCTCAAACACTGAGCCACACCAGCCAGGCTTGAATAACATTTTATATGACAAAGACAGGTACTGACAGAAGGACAGTGCCAGAGTGAGGGCATGTTACCAGAGAAAGGAGAGCCCCAGGGCCTGCCCCGGGGCATGAGCAGTCCCTGACAGAAGCTATGCTGCTGAGCAGGCAGAGCACCCCTGCAGAAAGTCAGCCCCTGGGCACACCACAGTCAGATTCCATCATGTCCAGCCTAGCTAGTGAGGACTAACCTAAGTCAGACCCTTCTGATTCACTAAAGCAAAGGAAACTGCCTTTTGCTTTCTTTCTTCTGCCACCTGCCCTTCATCTTTGAAGACATGTGACAGGAAGAGCAGGAGGCTCTTCAGAAGACCTTGCCCAGTCAACCTCTTTCTTTCACTTAAACTGGGACATTGTAAACCCCTTCTAATGGCTGGGCCTCAGGGGCCTGCACTTTACTTTGTGACCTGGGAGAGTGCTTAGCAGATACTTTTCCTCATCTGTGAATTTATCTTTCAGCTCTGTGCAGTGTGTCTAGAAGACTTCAAGCCTCGAGATGAGTTGGGGATTTGTCCGTGTAAACATGCCTTCCACAGAAAGTAAGTATTGGCATGAAACTATTTAAGGGAACCTGAGTTTGAGGCACATCAACCAACTTACTTGTGGGCTTGGAACAGTGCCAGACAAGCTTGAAGGCTTCATGATTGGTCTACAGTGCAGAAAGCACCCTACAGGGTGGGGTATGTGTACATGGCACTGGAGGAATTGGGGTTGTGGAACATGAGCACCGCGGCAGGACTTTGGGCAGAATGCCAGACAAGCCCACACCTCCTGGGAGCCCAGGTTATAAAACCACTATTTAATGGAATGTTCTAATGAGAGCTTCCACTCCAAAAAACTTACGTTAATCAAAATTGTAGTTATTTTAAATCAAGATAGATGAGTCTGAATGTAAATGGTAGTGTCGGGCTCTCTCCTCCCTCTTCTTGCAAACATATTCATATTCCCTCTTCTCTTGCAATTTTATGCATTTTGCATGTCTATTAGAAAATGTCATTTCTCCTACTTTGCACCACCCTCACTGTACTTCCTCCTTTAAGAAACCATGATGACTGAGGGGGTAGCATGCTTGGAGCTCTGGCTCCTCCAGAGGATAAAGTGGGTTCTCCATGGAGGGTGGAGCTCATTAGGACCTGGCTGTCCTGGGCAACAGATGTGTTCAACATGCAAAATGTGTGGGCGGG